AAAAATGGTTTGAAACCCTCCAAAATTTTGAAAAACGCTGGGGGGGGTTCTTTCCACCCCCCCCCCCCCTTCCCTTTACCACCATGGGCTATGAATTTGCGTGTGCGTTAAATGCCGATTGGGGTACTGAAACGTAGGTTATATCACCAACTATAAATTTATACCTCTTAAAGCGTCATGCTGGAACTCCATTGCTTTTTGGAGGATGCGTAACTTCATTCCACTTGTAGCTTTAACAGAACTGCTTGCTCAGCTCCTGTTTTTATAAAATATTTTTACAAAAATTATTTTCAACATGCTACTTTGTTAAAGCCATCACAACATCACCTTAGCCATGTAATGATGATTTGCATTCTCTTTGTCCTAAAATTAAGTATATGCTCCTCTGAGAAATGAAACACTCTTTAGATTGACTCGAATGAATTGTGTTGGCTTTAAGCTGAAACTCATAAGGAGGATTGTGAGTTTCTAGCTTTAAGGTAATGAATTTATTTGGCGCAAGACAAGCGCGCACTTATTTATTTAGCAACCCATGTTTAAACGAACTAATCACTGTTTGAACTGGCCCGAAAATCACATACATCAGTACCTAAATCACCTTCATTAAACTGAACATAAAATACAATTTCAGAAATTAGCAAACGTATTAAAATCTTCTTCAAGACCTTTAAAACTTAGTTTATGTCCCTCACAGCAAATGTACATAGCCTTAATCTTAGGCCATGACGTTTTACAACAATACATATTAAACAATATTAAGGAAGTGAAATATAGCTTACAATTTCAGCTTTGTCGTTGCATGTCGTAACAAACCCTACAGATGGCCCAGAAGATTTTGAGTGTGCGAAATAAGTCGCCAAGACGTGAGAGCGTGAGCAAGTCTAACCCTGTGTACCTGCCTAGGCTTGTTTTGTGCATACGTGAAGATATTACGGCATCAGCTAAATAGACGCCATAGTATACCAGCTAAACATGCATCCATTTCACCATTGATAAATGTTCTTTAAAACTTCGTTTCCAACCCTAGCAGTACATGTTCTTCGGTTATGACAATTTACAAGAAACAATACATAGGCACTGATAAGGAAGTGAAATTTGATGCTGGAAATATAGCTTACAATTTCAGCTTTCAGCTTTGTCGTCGCATGTCGTTACGAACTCTAGCTAACTCGAGCTCTAGCGAGTGAGGGGAAATTAGTTGTCGAGTCGTGGAAGCGTGAGATAGTTCGTGAAAGCTTGAGAAAGTCTAACTCTGTGCCGTTCCCACTTAAGCTTGCGTTGTGCATACATATTACGGCATCTGAGCTAAAAAAATATTAGACGCCATAGTTTACCAGCTATACATGCATACATTTCACTAGCATTTCGAAGAAGAGTTTCCGCTATATTTAGTATGTACACGTTCATACTATAAAGCCCTGGCTAGTCAATTTTTGAAATAAAATGTTTGGTCCACTGTGAATCTTTCTTAGCTTCGGATCAACACTTCCTTCCACATAACTTAGGGCATAATATGTTACTGAGGTTGGTTCGTTCATCCGGCCGAGATGGCTTTTTTTTTCACTCTTCTGTGAAAGTTCATTAAAGGGGTTTTATTTTTGTGCGATAACAAAAGAGGATTTCACCCAAAGATTCAAAAGTTAGAGCGTTAAATATCTCCACATAGCTGGATTTAAGAGTGAAAGTAGAAAGGGTTTACTTGAGCGCTGGTCGTAGCCCTAAAACTTCACCGTTTAAATTTGCAGTATTCATTAACTTTTTTATGAGTAGTTTGCAGACGGTCAAAAACTTTACCTTTTTGGCCTGTTTTCGAAATCTGCGCACCACATGGAACTTCAACAAATCAGGCCTTTTAAAAACTTCCCAATCCTCATTAGAAATAAGGCATACGACTCACCGAATGACCAGGCGTCTGGAGTGTTTGTTCATAGAAGCTCCGTCACAGCTTTCCCAACGTAACACTAGTTTTGACCGGATTTTGCCTGGGTAAACGCTTGTATAAGCTTAGACTTCTGAAGAGAGAAGGCTACGGAACCAAATACGACCAGATATCCAAAGATAGCATAAGATTATACAGTCAAAACTGTGCACCAGTCAGAAAACATTGAAAGTCGAAACTCAATATCGTGACGTTCAAGTTACATTTATAGACTGCGACATCATCTGCGTTGCACCGCGACCTTAGTGTCAATAATTATGCAGCTATTGTCTGTTGTATTGACAAATTGTAATTATTCACTAATTATTGTTCTCTGCGTAACTCTCACCATTAATAGGAACAAAAAGCTTTTTTATGTTACATTCCTTTGCACTATCTTAAATTTTCACATTAGTTTCTGTCCTTTTCGGGCAGATTCTGAGTGGGTAGATCCAACAACAAACTTGACCAATGGCAGAGGGGGAAATATAATTAAGCACTAGTAGTCACGGTCGTTCAGTAACGCTATGACAAAATACGAATAAACAACCTTTGTTTCTTTTGTTTTCCCATCGTACTTCCCGTTTGTTTTAATTTTCCTTGGATGATGATAATATAAATCTAGCCCGTCGTTATCCAGAAGCAGTGCCCGAATGCCACGAGTTTTTTCGTGTGATGTGAGTTATGGCCACGGCACGGAGAGTTGAACTAACTTTCTGGTTAAAATATCCACTGGGGATTTTCTTCTTGATTTTCTAGTTAGGACTTCAAAGGCTGAGTTTGTCATTTTTTACTTTTTCTTTTAGCGGTAATGTTTAAACCCATTATTTGCGACGGGCTTGCCGTGACTAGTTTGTCTTTGTTACTTGCTGAGCGTTTTTTTAGCTGGTTTATACTATGACCGCAGCTTTACCCAATTAGCAACATCTAAAAAGTTAACTTCAGACGTCATGCAGAATAAAAGGTGTTCAGTACTCCGATTTTTGTCCCTCGTATTTCGTCCCTCCCAAAACGAAACACGAGCTCTCCTAAAAACGCCTGCGTGGGAGGTTTATTTATATGTTTCTATTTTCAATAACTATAGGGGCTCCGCTGCGTGCCCTTCGCGGACGCTCCGCTATAAACACTATAAATATAATTACTGTCTTCATATTTTGGGGTGAAGAATGCCGTTCGTTATACCGAGGACTTCAGTCGTGATATGGAGGTTTACTGACCGGTAGATCCGTCAGAAGGCATGCCACGTCTACCATCGTTATAGAATGTGTAAGTCTATAATATGTAACTAATACTGTTATGCAAGAGTGTTTTTTTCGTTCCAGGTCTGTTTTCAAAATATTTTTTTTCCGTATATCACTCAGCACCTCTCAAATTCAAATGTTTTATCACTCCAGTCCATGTTTTACATACATACATACATATATATATATCTATATACATGCATATATAATTCATCTGATGTTGCACGTTATAAAATACAGGCAACTAATTATAGCTGATGTGGAGCTGCCTAATAATCAAATAAAAAACAATTATGTAACTAATAAATAAATAAATGAATAGATAGATTGATAGTTAAAAGATACTTTGTAAATTGAACTATATATATACAACTATAACTACATACAACTAGATACAAGCAGAAGGAGGTAAAATTTGAAATTACAAGCTAGCAATTAAGACTTAATATACATAAAAACTAAAACGAAATTAAAAAATTAAACATATACAAAGTTATCAAGATCCTTATTGCAGTTCATGCAGGTTTCTTTAATAAATGAGTGCTGCTTTGTTGGTAGATGTTTTAAGAACTCTTTTGAATGGATCAATGTTGTCACTTTCTCAGGCTGTCGTATCTAAACAGTTCCAGACAACAGGACCCCCAAATAAAAGACTGTCTCTACCTGGTACTACCTAATTCTAATCTTGTTTTTTTTTTTTTTGGTATAATTGCCCATTTTTAACGGATTTTTACGCCAAAAAGGTCACCTAGAATTTTCGGGAGCCTTTTTCTAGCTGAAATTTCCGAAAAGGTAAGTTTTGATCTCTACAATTTTCGAATCACTATAGACTTTCAGCTAGGAAATCCGAACAGATGAAAAATTCTTAGGGGATAAAAATACGCCTATATCTACCGTTTAAATACTAAAATACGTTCAACAATGTTATGTTTAAGTGGTTTTAAACTATATTCTTGTTGGCTCCCCTTGAATTTTGGCAAAAGTAGCAGGAGAACAGCTTCCCGACACCGATATGGAGAAAGTTACATAAGGAAGTATAGTCTATATATACCGCATTTTTTCGCTTATAAAGCGCAGCATTTTTTCAACAAATGTTTGCTTGATAGCTCTCACTCTGTTGTGATGTCGGGATGCGTCTTATAACCGGCAGACTCTGTAGAACTTTTGCCGCACCAAACACCTTTGCCACACCTAGCTAAAACGGCCTTACCAAATTGATTCACTCGTCGCTCTTTTGTCGTACTTTCATCAATTAGGTTCGGCACATGAGTGGAGTGGTGTCTTAGCTGGACCCTAGTAACCAATCCCAAAGGCTACCAGTTATGCCGCAGGCTTGCAACTCATAGCCTGGGATATTATGGTCTACGGGGTCAACGGCTATTCTGAAATCAATAAAGATTGCTCCAATTACTTTGCCATCGTCTATGGATAGCTTCCACATCTCTGTAAGGTATAATAACAATGATTCAGATGATAGACCCTTTCTGCAACCCCACTGGTTCCGTTGCAAAACACATCTCAAGTATCGGTCTTAAGATTCACATAATTATGAACGATTCTGATATTTTGTTGGGAATACTTAGCAATGTCAAAGGTCGGCAGTTAACACTCCAGTCCATTTCATGTTTTATCACATGCCGGAAACATCTGGTCTTCTCTGCTAACAAAAGGGGAATCCCCGGCTATACGAGCATTCGGTTGCGTCATGTGTGATCTTGCGGTAATGGTCAAGGAAGTGAGTGGGAGACCAAAATGTTCAAGTAAACACCACAGTCTTAACTTTAGAGTTTCGGGTAGCCTCTGTAGTTTCAAAGGTACTTTATAGATGATGATCAAACGTAACCTAGCCTATCGCTAGCTAGATGCAGACCGTACTAAGTATTTTGAGAATTTTATAGTCATATGATCAAAAATCTGCTGATAGTCACGAGACATTGCTGTCTGTACCTGTACTGAGTGTATTTAGAAGGTATGTACTCTCGTTTATTGTAACTTGCTTTAGCTATAGGGTGTTCATAGTCCCCTTTTTCGAGATTTGTCCTTTTTGGGTAAGGGGATAGGAATTGTAGAATTGTAGTAGGAATTGTAGTATAATTGTAGAATTTCGCTTTCGGTCTACCCACAGCGAAGAATCAGATGAAATGCAGTAGAAGAACGAACGAACATTTACAAAGTGCTATAAACCAGTATAAACAGTTAATGTTTTGAACAGCTGATGTCACTTATATTTTGATATTGACCAATTTAGGTCTGCAGTAGTCTCCGTGACATCCAAAAAACGGCTGCGAGGGAGATGGGGGTATGAAAGCTCAACAGTGACGCCCAGCTACAGTGTACCCCGGGGGTACTTTAGGAATAGTTGGATAGGGATGTGCCGCTGGGACCCCGGAACCCTAACCCTATACCTGACCTAGTAAGTTCGGCTGAATTTTGCTACCCTAAACTAGACTAATCCCCCAAAATCTCTCCGCATCCTAGAGTAGCTATTTTCCGGACATTTCATGCTGGAGTGGATGCTTCCTTTGCTATTAAACTGAATTAATTGCAGGTAAATTCAGATTTTTTTGAGTGTTAATTTCCGGTTCCCCTAGCCTAGACTAAAATCTTCAAGCCATTGACCACAGAGTTTTTCGAAAAATGACACCCTTTTCTATTCCCGACCTCTCTGATTCTATACCCTACCCAGACTAGGTTGAAAAACCAGACCCTTAACAGCGGCACATACCTATAACCTGATTTCATGTATGGCAGCACCCCCGGGCAGTATACCCGCCAGATAGGCCACTGACAGGCATATGTTAATCATGAAGGAAGGCAGACGTGCGATTCTGAGCTCGCGAGTTATTGGACTTGTACTTATTTTGTGTCTTGTTCATACCTTGAGGAAAGATAAACAAGATTATTCTTTTACCAGCGAGTACTTTGGTCTATGTTTCCCGCATTCCTCGTCGGTTAAAGAGGTAAACTGGGATACGAGACACTGTACAAAATGGCGGACACACGTGCATGTCACTATCAGTATGAGAGTGAAACGAGCAAGCGCTACTACAGCCTACTACGCCAACTCAACCTCTACCTTTAGACCTGTTATACAACTGCTACATGATGTGGAACTTAACCCTGGACCTGCAAACTGCTCTAGTGGAGACAAGTCAGAAAAGTCAAATGGCAATGTTAAAATCGCACATCTTAATGTTCGCTCGCTCAAATGCCGTGAGCATTTCGTTCTTGTAAAGAATGCGGTACTGGAAAATAAGTTTGATATATTTACCGTATCCGAAACATGGCTCAACAGTTCAGTTACGGATTTGGAGATAGAAATCCCTGGCTA